GCAGCCAGGATGGTTCAGTCGGAGGACGAGGATGGAGAGGTACCTCATGCTGGCAGCGACGACCGCGGTCTTCGTCGTCGTCGGCCTCGCCATCTCCCTCGCCGGTGTTGTCTACAGCTATCGGATGGGCATACTAAAGGGCAGCGGTATGTTTTGTTTAATGGTTTTGAGCGATAAGAAGAAGAGTGAAAATGTTACTAAGTGTGTTTGGGGGGTGGGAGGGGGTGGAGGGTGCGCTGGGTCGATAAAAATAAGAGTGAAAATGAGATGGGAAAAGGATTTTTTTTTCGTAGCATCGTTTAGGATATTTTGATCTCCGAGTTGACACCAAGAAAAAAAGAATATTGGTTATGGTCCATAGCATTAACAGGGTTGCAGGCAGTCGGTTCTAAAGGCAGTTACTGTTATCATAGAACGTAGGTTTGAATGACGTTTCATAATCTCAACGAGAAAGAAAAAGCGACAGAGAAAGTCAGAAAGAAGAAAACCTTTTTTAATTTAGTTAGAAAGTAAAAAGTTTTAATGAATGACAGTCACACAAAAAAGAAAGAAAAAAAAAAACTTTCCTTAACTTAAAAAAGTAGAGGCGAAGTTTGGTTTAAGCATGACATGCATTTTCATGCGTTGCCATGAAAACGTCGCGATCTGGTTTCCCAAAAAGAAGAAAAAAAGAAAATAAATAAAATAAAATACATTCTCAGGATATATTAGTCTGAAATGTTAATTAAATACAATGGAACTGTGAATTGCAAAAACCGAGTCTGCATTGAAGCAAAAGCAGTGTAATTATATCAGATTTTTCCTTTTATAGTTTAGTAGTTTCAAGAATAAATTTTATGATTCGAAGTAGATGAAAAAAGATGCGTAAAAGCTGCCTGTGATGAGTTTCGGAAATGTGAAAAAATGGAGTAGAGAGTTTTAACTGTAGATTAGAATGGGCCAGTGACAGTGAATGGCACAGTCAGCCTGCACTCCGGGAATCTGTTTGGAAGGATTACGTACACCTTTTCACACACATTTATAAACATCTGCATGCGCGCACACATCTGTAGACATATACGCACGTCTGCATTGATATATACGCACACATATAGATGCATACGCTCACACACACACGCATACGTTCACACACACACACGCACGCACGCGCGCACACACACACACACACACACACACACACACACACACACACACACACACACACACACACACACACACACACACACACACACACACACACACACATTGTAACTAGAAATACGATTCTAGATATATTTCAGGTGCTTAGATATATATTAATTTATGCTGAATAGAGTGGATAGCACGAAGAGTAAATAAAGAAGATGATTGGGAGGGGTGATAAAGGAAAGAGTGCAAGAACCGATAAGAATTAAACGCGGAAAAAAACAAAACGAATAAATGAAAGAAAAAAAACAATAACAATCGAAAATTCGTCGTGCGCCCCTTCCATTTCTCGGAAGGTGAAAGTGAACGATAAATGAAAAAAAAAAACCCAGAACACGTTTAGAGAAAGTTCGAAAGGTTAGAATTAATTATAAAAAAAGAAAAAAATATTACTCGTACATGGGATTATCGCGTCGAGAGAGTAACTTTGAATTTAAGGTTGGTTAGGGCTCAAGGCATAATCATTTGCATAAAATAATGACTTAGGCCATACTTGTTAACGAAGAAGCTAAATTAACTAAGAAATGGAAAAAGTTGATTTTTTCTCTCTCGTCTATATAGGCCTATATTTGAGTTAGCATGATCATAAGCTCTTAAATACTGAAATTAATTTACAGGATAATGAACATTTGAAGAAAAGAGATTAATGTTATTCATTTGTTTTTCAGTTTTAATGGATTGTCAAATAAAAATTTAAATAATAATTTTACTGATACAATATACGGATGTTTAGCATGAACTTCTGTGTTGCTTTTTTGCCATCATATTGCAATGCTTTGAGTGTCTGTGTGTTTGTTACTTTTTTGTTTTAACTTTTTTTCTTTCTGAGTCACTTGCATCATATATCTGACGAGAGCAATTGCAGATTAAAAGATAATTAACTGTATTCCTGATATGTTCTGTCTCTGACCACAAAGAAAAAGGAGGCAGGAGACAGAAAACGTAAAAAGACAAAGTTGTTTTACGTGTAGAAGTAGGTACGTTTACGTGTGTATATACGTGTGCATGTATGCACACGTATATACACAAAATTATACTAAATATTCTGACACAAACAACGAAGCTTTTTGAAATATAGTTGTAAACGCTAGGAAACTGTTAGTGCACCTGATTTTCCAACTACTTTTGCTAAATAACGAATTGAGAGGCTATAAATTCGCAGGTAATTTATAAATTGGTATAATACTTTGTCACTAATCAATTAGCATCGCATCATAATACGAGAGTCATGTTAGGTATTGCCAGACGCTTTATTATTGTATTGCCTAATGGCTATTGGCATATTTCATTAAGACCAAAACAAGGAAAATATAAGATATTGGTAATATATTCAAGTTTGATATTTTGTGTTCCTACCCCTGCTGCCAAAACACAGTTCAAGCGTCGAAACATAGACGCTACTAACTCGGCTGTCAACGCACGCCTTCCTCATAGCATAGACGTTCTTATGCTTGCAAGGCATTACTCACGACTGTGATACGATTACGAATGTGGTCTTGATGTGTATATTTTGACATGGCTGCTCATACGCTTTCGATTGGAGCTGAAATCCGGAGATCTGGGTGGATGTGACTGAAGCGCGATGTCGGGATGTTCACGAAACGAATCTCTGACAATGCGGCTGGTATGGATAGGGCTGTTGTCCTGAATAAGATCGAAGGGATCCGTCCCAGGAAACACCATATTCCCTACCTGTTGGGAGGAAAAGGATTTCTACGTATCTGGTGCCAGTGAATCAGCCAGGGCCGACATCCGTTACCTAACCGACACCGCTTGCATCCGCCCAAACAAACCTACGGTGATTCGGCCACTCCTGCTCGCGATCACATTCTCTGGTTCACATCTGTTAAATCTGATAACACTGCATTAGATATAAAAATCGAGATGTGGAAATGCTTTGGCGTTCATTTCTTTTAAAACAAACATCTTCAAAATGTCGAACGAAGGGAAATAGGAGGGGAGGGGGGGTGTCGTTACCTACCTGGTATTTTGTTGACGCTGTACATATCTTGCAGCTTTGAAAAAAAGGTTTTCTCGTCGCAGATTATTTTTGTATCCTAGAAGGCCTGTGGTTTGTCTGCATATTGCAAGGCATATTCCATCTTTTTTCGGGAATAAGATCATGTCACAGTGAATCCTCCATAGAAAATCCGGAACAACTATTCGATACATTATGAATCAGAACGAGACCAATTCGAACCCCAAAATACCAACCCTTCTGTAACATAAGGTTCTGTTCGTTAATGAATGTTCCGACGCCCCTCCTAACGATAGTTTTCCGTGTAGCTGTACGTGTATTTGTGTATATACATGTACATGTACAACGTGTACATGTACGTTTGTATGTGTATATGTACGTCTATGAGTACACACATATAATATATATGTATATATGTATATTACATATATAAACATATATATTCGTTCACATGTATGTGCGCTTCTGTGTATGCACATACAGATAGTAAAAGGGAAAAGAAGAACGAAAGAAACCGAATGAGAGCAAACGAGACCGGCAGCCTCCCGGCCACCTCTTCGCCACTCCGCCCGCGACGCCTCTAATGCACGGCCAATACGCGCCATGCATTGTGTGCATTAAGCAGGGGGCCGAAATCCTTTACATAAGAGCGTATTAACCAACTTCCGCTGTAAGTCTACGTGCGAGGAGGAAGGGGGAGGGGGTAAGGGAGGGGACTTATGCGAACGTTGCTAATATTGCACAGTGTTGCTTTTGTCGTGCAATGGGGGGTCCAGCTAGGATGGGGAGTGGGGGGCAGGAGGATGGGGGGGGGTGTTACATTGAAGGGGTGATGGAAGGTGGGAGGGGGAAGGGGAGGTACAGAGGGGCGTGTATTGTTTTGGTTTGAAATAATACGAGTTTTGTTTGTTTGTTTTTGAGATCTCTGTTAATAGTGCCTGGTTTATTGTTATTATCAGTAGTATTGTTATTACCTGTATTATTATTATTATTATTATTATTGTTATCAGTATCATTATTATTATTATTAACAGTGATGATATTATGATTGATTATGATTATGATTATTAATTTTGTCATTATCACCTATCATTGTTATAATTATTATTATTATTATTATTATTATTATTATTATTATTATTATTATTGTTATTGTTAATAGAGTAAAATACACCGCCTCTACAAACAGCCAAATACGAAAACGAGCCAATTTATGCTCGCAAAAAAGAAGCCCTTGTCATCTATAACAAAGCTCAATCTAGCATTAGGTAATGAAATGTGTAGGGGAGTCTGTGCGTATATGATAGTTGCAAGGACAGAGAGTCGGGTTTCGTGTAATTTAATCCGCCGTTCGATTCGATACACTAAAACAGGGTTGCGTTATTTGGTGGTTTTAGTGCTGGGTAAGTGGTGTTTTTTTTAGGCACGTTTAGGGTTTCGGTGGGAGGGTTTAGTCGTTTTTAAAGGAGGGGGGGGGGGGTGAGTCGGATTATTTTTTTCTTTTTTTCTTTGTATTTTTTTTTGTCCTTTTTGTTTTTCTCTCTGTTTCTGTCTCCTTCCTCTCTCTCTCTCTCTCTCTCTCTCTCTCTCCCTCTCCCCCTTTGTATGATTATTTTATTTTTATTTTTCTTCTCTGTATTTTTTTATTTTTTTGTCCTTTTTGTTTCTCTCTCTCTCTCTCTCTCTGCCTCTGTCTCTTTCTCTCTCTCTGCCTCTGTCTGTCTCTGTCTGTCTCTCTCTCTCCCTCCCTCCCTCCCTCCCTCCCTCCCTCCCTCCCTCCCTCCCCCCAATGAGGTTTCTCTCTGGCTCTTACCTCCCACCCCCACCCCCCACTCCTCACAAAAAAAATAAAGTTTTAGTCCATAGCCAACTTAGCAAAAAAATAAAAGTTTAGTTTCGCTAACTATTCTAAACAAAGGAAAATCCGGACTTTAAAAGACGCTCTTGGTCAGTAGAGGCTACAAGGTTACTCGAATTACACGG